AGTTGTCAATCCACATTTTTTCCCAATCCTCTAAATTTATATTATGCCCTACATTTTTTGCCCAATCATTGATCCCTTTACTATTTCCTCTTCTAATTCCACTTCCAACAAATAGTTATACATTCTTGTTATAAATTTTATCTCCTTGCCTGTCAAAATTTGGTCCAGTTGTTGTAAGTCCTTTTCTATCCCTTGTTCTTCTAAGTCTTTCCTAAATTTTGTCTGAATTTGTAAGTATGACCACCAATCTATAATTATGTCTTGTTCTTTTAATTTATCAATCATTTTTAACTTCCCGATTATCTAATAGTTCTTCATATCTGACCATTTTCACATCTCTGACAATGTTATTAGCCGCTTTCAAGTGCAGTTTAATGATTTCTAAACCCCTCCTCAGTAATGGCATTGCTTTTCCAAAAAGTCCCCAGAACAGGCCCCCTATACCCATACCATACATAACAGGCGCTCCTCGGAAACCTGGTAGGCCATTTCCTGCCTGAGTCCTGTAGTAATCCACATAGGCTTGAGGACTCCTGCTGTTCTTTATCACGACCATCCTTCACTTTTCCGAGGCCTAAAATGAAGCTTGACAATCACCTTCCCATGATAAAAATGCACATTTTTGTCCTGGTTGGTTTTGATTTCTATAGTAATGGTATCGATGTGATGTTTGCTGACCTGGACATAATGTGGACGGTCATAGGTCCTTGTGGTAAGATCATTGTCTTGCCCCCGCACAGGAACACAGCATAGTAATGGCACATAGAAGTCACCCACTATCTGGAGCTCTACAATGTCAGTGTAAACATACAAGGTACTGAATCCAGGGAACATACCTAACAGGTGTCCAAGTTCTCCGCTAACTAGAATGGCATGAAGTTCATCTCCTTTAAGATTAAGTTTTCAAACCACTGTATTGTAATGTAGGGTTGTCTTAGGTCTGTCCTTGACATTTGATATAAGCTTGTTCATATTTTCTAACAGTTGCTGGATGATGCTATAGTCCCCACTTCTCAAAGAAAAATACCATCTTTCTCTTGTTAGCAATTTCAAAATAGCCAAGAGAAGTTAATGTGCCCCAACTATGTGGATATTGAATCTCTGCCAGACCGACCTCCCATGATCCCAGAAGGTCCAATGATCTCGCTAATTGAATAGTAAAATTAGAATTTTTGTTTTGGGGAAACTTGCTGCTGATGCATTGCTGGGAAGGGTGATGTAAAACTCCACCATATCAAAGATGTTGTACTTCAGTATCCTTAACCCAACTGTTGAACTTCTCCGGCCAGCCAGACCATTTAACTAAGAATTCTCTTTGTTTTCCGCTCCCTCTTTTCCGAAGTATTTTTTCAATTCTGTAGGCACGTTCTTGGTCGCTAGGAACCTTTTGAAACTCTTCTGTGTAAAAAGTCCCCTGTACGGGGTCTTCTGCATAATCCATTAATCTATATACAGCCCTTTCTCCCCGCCACACCCTTTCTTTCACAATAAATATTTCGTCTGTAAAACTTTGATGATAATCCTTTTCATATTTTCCCTTTAGTCTGGATATCCTAACGTGCTCCCCCACCTTAAAGGTTTTTAACTTTCTGACAGATTTTAAACATTTTCTGTATAGTCGCATCCACACTTTTTTTCGTTAGCTTGATTTACCATATTGGGTGCTGTCTGGATACTGCGATGATAAGAGCTATTTTGTATCCCTGCATGAGAGCTGGTAATACCTCTACATATCGGTGCATATTTTTAGCTGCAAAATACCTCGATTTTATTTTTCAGAGTTTGATTAAACTGCTCTATAATCGCTGCTTTAGTTTCACTATGTGTGACAAAGTGATGTATGCCATAACGTTCCAAAAGATTCTTCAGAGGCTTGTTTAAGAATTCTTTTCCGGCATCTGTCTGTAGCTTTCTGGGGGCCCTCCCTGATTGGAAGATAGTCTCAAAAGCATTGGCAATCCCACGTCCAGACTTATCAGATAAACAGACAGACCAGGCAAATTTGGATAGTACATCAATCACTGTTAAAAATGAATTTTGTGCCATTGTTTTCAGAGGCAAACCCTGATAAATCCACGAGGTCCGCTTGCCATTGACAGTCTATGCAAGAAAATATTGTGGCGTTCCTAGGAAAATTTATTCTTGCCAGTTTATGAAGGGTATAAGCATCTTGTCCAGAAAGCCACATCTTGACATGCTTCAAGGTAAGGTTTTTAAAGTGCTTCCTCCCCGCCTTAAGTAGTGCTTTTACACCACCATAGCTACCTGTGCATTTGGGTGTATAATACAGGTCCTTTAGAATATTTTCATACTTCATTCTGCATCTTACAATACGTACAATAAACATGCTTTGCATTTTAGCACCGGCCTTTCATTTGTAATTTACAGAAAGTTCACCCACCCTTATTCAGCAACAATAATAATATCCATCATCAGTACAAAAAACACTGTCATCACTATCTTCAACCTCTGTAGTCATCAAACATATACAATCAGCAACACCGCATGAGCATCCTTCAGCAGCATTATCTTCATTAGAATAATGGGATAATCATAACGCTTCAGAGCATCATCATTAATATCGTCATTAACAGACGCTGTAAACATGTTGGTAATAGATGTCGTAGGACGCCTACAAACTCCCCCAGACTCTCTAGATTCCGACTCACTTCTTAAAAAATCCAGACGGCTGTCATGTTTATATCCAGGCACCGTTTCTGTTTCAATATACAAAAAAATAGGACATTACTATAGCTATCACCAACTCTTTCACCTTGTATTATATACAATTATTATCAGGAGATTTAGTAAAAAGGCAATTTAGTTCCATTTACCTAAACAGCCCTCTGCAGTCTCTTCACTGGTTGAGAGGTTTGTTATTAAGGATGAACTGACAGTGTAACCTGGAACGGAACCTAGAAAATATATTCATTATCTATCACACCGATAACTGAGTTATCATTATTTACACCTTTGAATATATAACAGGGTTTTACTTACTCATGCCTGTTCCTTGGACCGGTGATAAAGAACATCTTTTAGTCATTTCCCAGCCCTCCCGGTAAGAACCGATGTGGTTGGCCACCTCCTCACGTAGTACTGCATCCCGTACAACACGGCAGATGGCATCCAAACAAAATAGGTCTGAAGCTCTGTAAGTCTTCATCAAACATAGTACAACATATTTTATGGCAATCATTCAAAATAGGCCTTGACTCGGGCCATGATGTAGAAGGGTCTACAATCCTTTTATTATTTCCATCGCAAGGTGCCATGTTGTTGTTAAACACGAGCTACACTTTAAACGACTGAATTGTCACCGCTCTCTTTTAACAGTACAAGAGCATGCCTGGGGCAGGCCCGTGCATGCCCTAAACAGGCTTGTCACACGTGACACCACGAGCATAGTATGCATGCCCTCTATCAAACTGCAGCCAACCGCCCACACGTCACCTCCACTGCCCAGGACATACCCCAACCTGTCCTGCAGCCACTTGTCACACGTAAGCATGCACATACCATCCAGCTTTTTATTATCAGTTTTAAGTCTTACTATTATTTATCATCCCTTACAGCTCTACCATTTGCCCCTCAGTTCCTGAAAAAATACAAAAAGGGCCTACAAAAAGATTTCTTTGCAAAAAAAAGTACTTTATTTTTTACATCTCTGCAAAGTAAAAAAAAATCAAATTCCAAGAACAGAGAAGTGACCACTAACATTCCTTGCATTACCCCTGCAAACAAAGGACAAGGACAAGGGGTGGGGTGGGGAGTCATACTTCGCTCATTATTGCTTTTTACTTCCTGCACTCTCTGGCTCCATGTCTATGGGCCAATGGGAAAGCCTTCAGATGAATAATTAATATGTTGCAACACTTCAAGACGAAAGGGATTGTGGGACAGGGAGAAGTGGGGCGTTTGCTGTTACAGAGCTTCTGGGTGGAAGTTCCCAGGGGCCAGAGGGGTCGTCATGTGGTGATGACACAGCCCTACAGGCCGAGAGGGTTTATGGGACAATGGGTTGCGCCCCACAATAACGTTACAGTTCTTCCGGGAAACTTAGGTTTGTGGGTAAAGAGGGTGGGCTTATGACATCATCCCTCCATGGTAATTAGGGGGTGGTTCTATGATGTCACAAAATGGGTGGAGCTACAATGTAAACCAAAAATGACACAAAATGGGCAGGGCTATAAACAAAATACGTCACAAAAAGGGGCGGGGCTAAAGCCCCTCTAAAATTTGGTATGTACTATGTATTACTTGTGGCAATACAAATACACAAGATACTCACTTTTTCTTAATTTTATTATAATTTATCTAAAAGTTCTAAATAGGAAAAACAAAATGAAAACAAAATAAAATTACAGCAAGAGACAGATCGTGGGAGATGGCAGGAAATTCCCCCTTCTAACTCTAAATAGATACCTGGATTGCACATTCCTTCACAAGAATAAAAGTAAAGAAGGGAAGGGGAAGACATCATCCTGGGGAATTACATGTGTGGCTACCTCATCCCCAGAGGGAGAAAAGAGAAAACATGTCCCATTGGTCAAATTCATTAGCATGATGTGATCCCAATCTCCATAGTTGCGGAGAAGAAGTATAAGAACCAGATCTGCCAATACAAGATTTTATAAATCCATTCACCAAAGCTGAATGGATTCCAAAGGGCATTTGGATCCCCAGTGACCACAAAAAATATTTTTGCAAGATCAGGATTTTTTGGTATAGTATGCTGGAGACAGTCTTTTCTTCCACTGGCCATATAGTTTTTATGGAGCAGAGTGGGAATCAGGAGTGATGGCACCCAAAGGACTTCCTATATTAGCTCAATCTATTCCATATAACTGAAGCAAATTACGGACTGAAGTGCCAAAACCCCACAGCACTGTAGGTCTTCCAGCAACCTAAAACAGCAAAAGTTTGAAGCTCTTCCCATTCTTTGCTTAAATCTTTCAGAGTGGCACCAAAACCATGGCGTTGCAAGATCAACTGACAACATGTATATATTCTCTAAGCAATAACTTCCAGTTGTTCTAGAGCAGCCTTCTCTAACTTAAGTGTCCTCCAGATTTGATTATGCTACAGTTCCCATCATCTAATTCAGAATGGACAAGTTGGTTAGGAAGATAGGAGCTTTAGGCCAATACATTTGGAGGGTACCTGCTTGGACAATGCTGCTTCATGAATAAAAAACCCCAAGAGTTGCTCAAGAAATCAGTCAGTGACTTATCTACAGATTTTTAAAGAACTACTTTTCTTTGTTCCTGGGCTGATACTTCTTTTTATGGAAAGAGCTGACAAAGTTCCAGGGTTTTCCACAGGCAGAAATCCTAAAAAATGATGGGGGGGGGTGGGGGGGATATACCAATTATCAGCAATGTTGGGAAAAGAAGCCTAATTCAGTCTAAGGGGTCCAGAACTGGGAATTTATTGGGCAAGGGCCAGGGTAAGGAAGAGAAGGAAAATAGAGAGGTGAACCCCTGCCAAAGGCTGAAAGAGAAGCTGTCCATTCCATCCAGAATAGGAAACAAAAGCCGCACAAGGGGGAAGAGGGAGGAGCAGCAATCACAGGAAGTAGTCCGCAACAGGCTTCTTAGATGGGATGCCTCGAGTTTCTTGAGGGGCTGCTTCAAAGATGATAAATTCCTTCTGAAGGTGTTCATCCAGTTCCAAGATGGCTGCAACATTCCCACAGCTGTGGTTGGAAGAGAGAAAAGGGGTCAAATTGGCGTGTTTCAGATTTCATCAATGACACACATCCCTGGCCAACACATTCAGCTGATTTCAATCTCCCTCTCCCCATCCCATAGTTCTTCCTATTCACAGGCATACCCTTGCAGTTTCTTACCGGTAGCAATAGTTGGGGGCTGACCACACTGTAAGAACTGTCTCACTGAAATGCCATTTGTATCCCTCCATGACCAGCTGATGTGCCCGGCAAATCATGTTGATATCATTTGCTGCATTGAACTGCGCCACCACGTCGCTGCCAAATAAATAGCCAGCACCTCGAGGACTAACCCCCCAGCCTGTAGTGTCTAAAGTAGCAAAGGAAGAGAATGTTGACACAAGGAAAACCAAATGGCAGGCAAATGCTAGGAAAAGGAAACATCTGGGCTTGCAAGCTAATAGAAGAAAGCCAATCAGCTGACAAGGAAACACTGTAGAACACCTCACACCACCACCCATATATTCCACCATACAAGGTTGTTCTCCCTTTTAAAAATTTTCTAAAACAGTAATTCTGGGAGTGGGAAGGAAATTAAAGTAGAGATACAAAATGCCTGACCATCTTTAGTGGAAGACTGAAAAGAGTTTTACCATTCATTTGATTTGCTGATGACTGCAAATCCATGCAAGATTTGCAAATCCATGCAACAATGTAGGGGCACTATGGCTCAGCAGTTATAGATGCTGAGCTTGTCAGCTGGAAAGCTGACAGCCTGGGTTTGAGACCTGAGCGCCACATGATGGGGTGAGCTCTTGTTCCTGCCCCAGCTCTTGCAAACCTCGCAGTTTGAAAACATGCAAATGCGAGTAGATAAATAGGTACTACTTTGGTGGGAAGGTAACAGCGCTCTGTGCACCACAGATAACCAGAGTTGGAAGGGACCTTGTAGGTCATCAAGTCCAACCCCCTGCTCAAGCAGGAGACCCTACATCAGAGGTCTTCAAATTTGGGAATTTTAGGACTTGTGGACTTCAACTCCCAGAATTCACCAGCCAGTTGAAGCCCACAAGTCTTAAAGTTGCCAAGTTTGGGGACCCCTGCCCTACACCATTTCTGACAAATGGCAGTCCAATCTCTTCTTGAAAGTCTTAAGTGATGATGCTCCCACAATTTCCGAGGGCAAGCTGTTCCATTGGTTGATTGTTCTGTCAGAATGTTTCTCCTTATTTCCAGGTTAAACCTCTCCTTGTTCAGTTTCCATCCATTGTTCCTTGTCTGGCCTACAGGTGCTTTAGAACAGGGGTCTCCAACCTTGGCAACTTTATAAAGACTTGTGGACTTCAACTCCCACAGTTCCTCAGGCTGAGGAAGTCTAGGAGTTGAAGTCCACAAGTCTTGAAGTTGCCAAGGTTGGAGACCCCTGCTTTAGAAAATAGCTTGACCCCTCAAATATTGGAACACTGCTATCATGTCTCCCCTGGTCCTTTTCTTCACTAGACTAGCCATGCCCAGTTTCTGTAACAGTTCTTCATATGTTTTAGTCTCCAGTCCCCTATTCATCCTGGTTGCTCTTCTCTGTACTTTTTCTACAGTCTCAACATCTTTTTTATAATGTGGTGAACAAAACTGGATGCAGTACTCTAGGTGTGGTCTTGCTAAGGCTTTATAGAGTGGTATTAGTACTTCCCTTGATCTTGATTGTATCCCTCTGTTAATGCAATTTAGGATTACATTAGCTTTTTTGGCGGCGGCTGCACACTGCTGGCTCATATTTAGCCGGTTGTCCACTAAGACTCCAAGTTCCCTCTCACAGTTACTGCTATTAAGCCTGGTTTCACCCAGTCTATATGTGTACTTTTGGTTTTTCTTGCCTAAGTGTAGGACTTTACTTTTCTCTACACTGAATTTGATTTTGTTAGATACGGCCCAGTGTTCTAGTCTGTCAAGATCCATCTGGATCTTGAGCCTATCTTCTTGGGTGTTGGGTATTCCTGCCAGCTTAGTATCATTTGCAAATTTGGTAAGTTCCCCTTCTATTCCCTCATTTAAGTAATAAACAAAGATATTGAAGAGTACTGGGCCTAAGACGGAACCTTGTGGCACCCCCACTGCTTACTTCCCTCCATGTAGACTTAGACCCATTAAGGACTACTCGTTGAGTCCGGTTTGTCAGCCAGTTGCAAATCCATCTGGTGGTGGTGCTATCTATCCCACTTTTTTCTAGCTTACCAAGAAGTAGGTTGTGGTCTACTTTGTCAAATGCCTTGCTGAAGTCTAAATAGATTATGTCCACAGTATTTCGCTGGTCTGCTAATTTAGTCACTATGTTGAAAAATGAAGCAAGATTGGTTTGGCATGATCTGTTTTTAACAAACCCATGCTGACTGCGAGTTATTACTTCACTCGTTTCTAGATGTTGGCAGATCTGTTTTTTTTAATCTTTTCCAGTATCTTCCCGGGTATAGATGTTAGGCTGATTGGTCTGTAGTTTCCTGGGTCTGTTTTTTTTTTTCCTTTTTTGAAGATGGGAACCACATCAGCTCTTTTCCAGTCCTCTGGTAATTCCCCGGTGATCCAGGATTTTTGAAAGATAGGGTGCAGTGGTTCTGAGATGATCTCTGCTTTTAAAACTCTGGGATGTAATCCATCAGGCCCCAGTGATTTGTGTTCATCAAGATCAGACAGGTGTTCTCTTATTAATTTTTTTTTGCTTACTTTAATTTTTATTTCTGGTCTGTCTTTTACAGTTATGTTTTTGGTGGGTTGAGCTATAGCTTCTTTTTGCATGAAGACTGATGCAAAGAATGAGTTAAGCAGCTCTGCTATCTCTCTGTTGCCTGTTACTTCCTTGCTGTCTTCACTCCTTAGTGGACTGACTGCTTCCTTAATTTTTTTTCTTGTTATTTATATGTTGGAAGAAACTTTTTATTATCTTTGACTTTTGTTGCAAGTCTTCGTTCGTTCTGAGCCTTTGCTATCCTGACTTCGTCTTTGCAGATTCTGCCTATCTGCTGATATTCTGCCTTAGTTGTATGTCCCTTTTTCCATTTTTTGTATTTGTCCTTTTTTCCTTTCAATTTGCCAGAGATCTTTGTGCAGCAATGCTGGTTTCTTCTTGGATTTCTTTGTTCTGAGCCTTTGCTTTATATTCCTCGGCATATAGTCATGCTGGCCACATGAGCATGGAACTGTCTTCAGCAACATTGGCTTCCTTGGCCAAGAAACAGAGATGAGCACCGTGCCCTACACATGACTTGGGCAGGGGAAGCCTTTACCTTTATCACAATGTGCTTGGAATACAGTAGTGGCCAAAATTGTGGAAATCTTTTGGGAAAAGAGTATTTTTGAGGTTTGATGGCTAATAACACCACTTTTTGGGAATAGTACCATAAAATTATATATCAATGGAAAGATAATTTAATCAAGAATGTAATGCAACAAAGTTTGTTCAATTATCTGTATTCTATAAAAGTTATAGCCAAATAACCAGAAAATGGAAGCACAACTTGCTTAGGTTGATATCAGGTAGCTTTCCTTCATCTGATTGTAGCCAATGAGCATGAGTGTAATGGTGCAAAGAGTTGACTGGTTGCCCAGAAAGCGATGTAAAATAGTATTATTAAGTGAACAAGGCTACAGTTATAAAGAAATTAGAAGAAAAGTTGGTGGGAACTTAACCAAGGGTGGCATTTCTAAGTTTTTGAAGAGGTATAAGGAGGCTTAGTCACTACAAAACCACACTGGTAAAGGCAGGAAAAGGTGCACAACAGCAAGTGATGATAGAAGAATTAAGAGACTGTGCCTACATGACAGAAGAAAATCTGGGTGTATACAAGATGAAATGGCGCAATGCAATATGAAGTTGAGTGCAAGGACTGTTTAGCGTAGACTGCAGGAATTTGGCCTAAAATCTAGAATTCCATGAAAAAAGCCACTTTTATCTCTCAAACAAAGGCTGAAAAGACTAAACTGGGCTAAAACCCATGTTACCTGGACAGAGGAACAATGGGACAGTGTTATTTGGAGCGACGAGACCAAGATCTCCCTGTTTGGTAGTGATAGCATAAAAATACACTTTTCCCAAAAGGTTTCCTCATTTTGGCCACTACTATATAATCTGCAGTCTCTCTTCAACTTCTTGTAAAGAACAGGTATTTCAGTCTCATCAGGGTACATAGTAACACCAACTATTCTGCTCCTACCCGTGTTTTTCCCCAAAATACAACCTACCCTGAAAGTCCTCCTCATTTTGGGGGGCGGGCCTAAGGCCTAGTGAAGGGGGTGGGCACGGCCAGCCCAAGAGGCAGCCCTTCCCTTCTCTGGTCACCCCGGCCCCTTAACCATGGCCCACGGATCAGCTGATCCAGCGAGAGCCAGGAGTTCTGTCTCTCCGGGTGCCTGGAGATGTTTCAGGCAATTAGGCAGAAAGCCATGGGGCCCATCGGAATTGGTCCCCCCACCTCCGCCGCCTCTACCCGGCTGCTGCTGCTTGAGAAAAGGACGAAAAGGCAGGCAATTCTGAAAGATTGTGGGATGTGTGTGCTTATGGGTAGAAGCAAAACACAGCCTGTCCCTTTCAAGCAATCAAATGCCTGTTTGTATATGAGAGAGACAGAGAAAGGACAGAAGGGAGTAACAAGAATTGCAGGCAATGCTGGTTGAAAGGGCTTCCTCTCCATTTGTGTGTGTGTCTCTCTCTCTCTCTCTCAGACATTTGTTGAGAAACGGCAGAAGGCAGGCTACCGGGTAAGGGGGTTGACCCTCCCTCGCCTCCAGTTCAGCACCTGCTCAGGGTGGCGTCCCGAGGCCTGGCACCTGGGCCACCCCCACCTGGCCAATGCGACAAATGGGCTCCCTTGTAGTGCCTTCTCTCCCACATGAAGCAGCGGCCAATGCGGGCTCCATCTGCTCAGCCATGAAGTGGGATCGGCATAGCTGGTTCTTGCTTGCAGCATTGACGGACAGGATCAGGTCAGATCTGCCGCCAGCTGAGATCAGCAGGCCACACTTGGTGAGCTGGAGGCACCACACATGTGCAGCCGCCACCCGGGAGAAGAGTGCACCAGAGCACAAACACTGAGCCTCACCAGCCTTGGAAACCAGGGATCTTGCAGGCATACTGGCCACGTAAAGGCCACCCAAATCCCTGGATTGTTTGCAACTCGAGCGAGCTGTGCAGCCGTCTTCCCCAAACCAAGTGGCAGCGAGGCTTCAGGACAATGCTGGGGACTGCCCAGCCAAGGACAGCACCCTTCTAGAGCCTGCTGCCCTGGCAAAGGCGAAGCGGAAGCAGGCGGGGGGCGTGCAGAGCTCCTCCAATGGCCTCCCCACCCCCGGCGCTGTGCAAGCCCTGAAGCAGTGCTGGGAAGCTGGGGGTATCCCAGGGTTACAACACTAAAAGCTCAGGATGGAGCCTTCTGGGTGATCGGCGGGAAAATGGGGGCTTTTTTTCCTGCCTGTACTCCCAAAGCCTCCCCGCCGTTTGGTTTGGGGTAGACGGCTGCATGGCTTGCTCGAGTTGCAAACAACCCAAGGATTTGGGCGGCCTTTACGTGGCCAGTATGCCTGCAAGTTCCCCGGTTTCCGAGGCTGGCGAGGCTCAGCATTTGGGCTCTGGCACACTCTTCTCCTGGGCGGTGGTTGCACGTGTGTGGTGCCTCCAGCTCACCAAGTGTGGCCTAAACTCGGCTGGCGGCAGCTCTGACCCAATCCTGTCCGCCAATGCTGTGGGCAAGAACTGGCTGTGCTGATCCCGCTTCATGGCCGTGCAGATGGAGCCTGCACCAGCCGATGCTTCACGTGGGAGAGAAGGCACTATGAGGGAGCCCATTTGTCGTATTGGCCAGGTGGGGGTGGGCCCACACAGGTGCCGGGCCTCGGGGCACCACCCTGAGCAGGTGCCGAGCTAGAGGCGGGGGTCAACCCCCTTACCCAGTTGCCTGCCCTCCGTTTCTCAACGTGTGTGTGTGTGTGTATGTGAGAGAGAGAGAAAGAGAGAGAGAGAGAGAGGGCAGAGAGGAAATCCTTTCAAACAGCGTTGCCTGCAATTCTTGTTACTCCCGTGTCATTTCTCTTTCTTTCTCTCTCTCACACACAGACATTTGGTTGCTTGAAAGGAACAGGCTGTGCTTTCCTTCTACCAGTGGTGGTATTCAGCCGGTTCACACTGGATCGGGCAAACCGGTAGTAAGAATGTGACGTGGGTCGTCGAACCGGTAGAAAGTTCTGGCTGGCCACACCCCCAACCCGGTCGCCCTCCCGCCTGATGCTCGCTTACTCGCCCACCTGACATTCGCCTAAGGTATTTCTTTCCCCCACCCCGACAATCAGCTGTGCATAGATCAGCTGTGCCAGGATTCCCCTTGCTGAGGCCCAGGAAGGCAAAAAAATGGAGGGAGCTCATCCCCCCCCTCCATTTTTTGCCTTCCAGAGTCCCAGAGGAGCCTTAGGGGAGCAAAAATCTCCCACCCCCCCGAGGCTCCTCTGATGCTAGGAAGCTCCAAAAAATGGGTGGGGGCAGTAAAAAAGGAAAAAAAAAAAGCCACACCCACCCAGTCACATGGCCACGCTCACAGAACCGGTCGCAAAAAATTTTGAATCCCACTACTGGCTTCTACCGTAAGGCTACCCCCCCAAGCCTTCAGCGTACCCCAGGATTGCAACGCTGAAGGCTCTGCAGGAAAACGGGTAGGGGAATTTCCTGCCTGTCCTCCTTTTCTTAAGCTCAGCACAGACTGAGAAAAGGAGGACAAGCAGGAAAATCCCCCTACCCATTTTCCTGCCGATCATCGAAAAGGCTCTCCCCCCAAGCCTTCAGCGTATCCCAGCAAGGCTGAAGGCTCGGCAGGAAAATACTGTTTAGAGAAGACATGCGGGCTCAGATCAGCAGAGCTGCTGCCCTTTTCGGAGCCTGAACGTCCTCCGCAAAACAGCTGAGCTGAGCCTGCATGTCTTTGCTAAACATCTAATTTTATTTTGCGGAGCTGTTTAGTGAAGACATGCAGACTCAGCTCAGCTGTTTTGCGGAGGACTTCAGGCTCTGAAGCAGTGCAGATCAGCTGTTTAGTGAGGTCATGGAGGTGCTAAGCGGGAGGGGCAGCTTGCTGCCCCCACCCTTCCCGGTACAGGAAAAAACTGGGGAAACTATAAGACCTCCACGAAACTAAGACCTGGTGCCTTTTTTTGGTGGGCCAAAAAATATAAGAACCAGTCTTATTTTCAGGGAAACACAGTAGTATAATTTTGAGTCAGAATTACAGGCACAATAGTCTTCAACACTACTTTTGGCATGTCCTATTCCTATCAGATTCCACCAAACCTGTACACGTCAGCCATTACAGTATCTACTATCAAGATAATATTCACACACACAGAAAAAGAAAGACTCATAATTGTACCTTCAGGGTCAGACCAAAGAAGATCACACATGGGGCCATCATGAGGGACCTCTTGTTTGCGATCTATTGTTCGGATCTGGTCCAGCGTCTGGATGGACGGGGATAAGCCACCGTGGACACAGAAAATCTGAACAGAAAAAACACACTTATACAGTATACATCATGGACCTCCCTCCATCTTTAAACTCTCACTCTTTTTTTCTGATCACCCTACCCCAGAGACATAATCTCTATGTGCCCTCCTACTCCTTTACAGTCTCTGGTATTGTTATGTATTTGATTAAAAACAACTGAGTGCTAGATTTGAATTAAAGGAAGACATTCCATTTGAATCAGCCCCATGCCACCAGTGATTATCCCATAATTACATGTCTTGGCAAGTAAAATAATGATTTGTTTTTTCCACTATTTTTCAGAGTTAGTCCTTCAAATTAGAATGTGGTCTCCTTCAGATCCTTATTTCATCATGATTCAAGAATTATACTTGCATACTCACCTTGCCATCAATAATGGCAGAGAGGCTGAGGTAGTCAAAAATCTCAGTGCAGTAGCGCCACACAGTGACAGAGCCATATTTTCTCAAGCACTCATCATAAAACCCATATACCTGGGTGATTTGCCTGCTTTCATGATTGCCACGGATAAGGGTGATTCTGTCCGGGTAACGGACCTGTAAAAAGAAGTAGATCCATTTAGCTTAGTCTTCAGATTTAAAAAGGTATTAGCCAAATTGGCATCACTGCTAACACATACTGACTTTTAAATAAGAAAGAAAAAATCAATGTTGACTTATCAAGGCTTTCCTTACTTTGAGTGCCAGCAGCAGCAAGAATGTTTCAACACTGTAGAAGCCTCGGTCAACAAAGTCTCCCATGAGAAGATAGTTGGTCTCAGGTACATCACCACCCACCTGACGCATAAAGGCACAAAACACATGAAAAAGTTACCCATAAAATTAGGGAATCTACAGAAAGCAAGCCAAAAGCAGAAGGCAGCATGGAAGTAGTGGGTTTTAGCACTCACCCTGAATAGCTCTTTAAGGTCATAGAACTGGCCATGGATATCCCCACAAACCTAGGGAAAAATGCATCAAGAATAAAAAAAAGTTTGCCAGACTGCTGATGTTACCATGCCAGTCTAAGGTATTATGAAGCATCCCCCCCCAAACCCTTACTCACTGTTACTGCGGAATCTACTCTCTGGACATTACTTTCTTCCACCAAGATCTCTCTGTTGGAAGGAAAAGGGAGATGTGTCATCTGGAATTGCCTTTCACATCACCTGTATGCTGTCATATAAAAGCAGTTACTGTTCAGAAGTTTACAAACACTTGCCTGGCCTTTTCACAGAGGGCTTTGACTTCACTCTCCTTGATGAGTTCACAGCGCTGCAGTTGTTCAATCTGACAGTCAAGGTCACTGATTTCAGCCATCTCTTCCCCACTGTAAAAATAGGAAATGTTGGCTGTTACATGTGTGCACAAACACATGGATATATATGTTTGCACACAGACTTTCTATGAGCACAGAGATTGTGCTTCAAAAGGATTCCAGACCAGAGCAAACTACAGCCAAGCAATGTTAAAAATACAAGTAGTCAACTTACAACCACAACTGAGCCCAAAATTTCTGCTGCTAAGCAAGACAATTAAGTTTTGCCCCATTTTACAATCTTTCTTGCCACATTTGTTAAGTGAACCATTGCAGTTGTTAAATTAGTAACACAATTGTTAAGTGAATCTGGCTTCCCCATTGACTTTGCTTGTCAGAAGGTTGCAAAATGTGATCACATGACCTTGGGAAATGGCAACTGCCATGAATACATACCAATTGCCAAGTTCTGAATTTTGATCATGTTACCACAGGGATGCTAAAAGAGTTTTAAGTGTGGAAAAACTGTCATAAGTCACTTTTTTCAGTGCTGGTGTAACCAGTCAGTAAACGAAAGGTTGTAAGTCAAGGACTACCTGTATATTCTTAATAAAGATTGTAATATTGATGAAAGCAAAGGAGAAGCTAAAGAAATCACCTCCCCCCAAACAACTATTAAACTATAGGGATAGTCTCAATTATGGGTATCTCTTCATCTCACAGACTCATCACTGGAAACTAACAAAACAAGAAACACCAAGACAGGTACAATGAATCTGTGTTGAAGCATAGCTAGGCAGATACTTTCACACTACAACCAAACCATTCAAGTAGCCCATATAAACTGATAAAGTGGAAGGACGATGATTTCTTCAAATCTTCCCAATGGACTACTGAAAATCTACGTTATTGGGAAAGAGGTGGAAATACACCGTGCAGTAGAGCCAAGGTAAGCAATATCTGGGATACAAATTATTGTACTAAGTGAAAAGCAGCTCATAGAATATGCAACAGGTGGACTTCCGGTGACGAGATATGGGCAAACGGAGGTGCTGAAGCTCGCTCTGGGTTTCATGCTATCTCCTCTTGCTGTTGGAGTGACCCTTAGGGGTGCACGTATCTTGTAGAGAAGCGTGCCAGTGTGGGGAGACTCAAGTCGCAGTGTGGAAGTGATTCTCATCACGACATAGAGAAACCCTGTGGAGACCGACAACAAGAGACTGTCAGCAATGGCGGTCCTAAAGCCTTGATTGTTGCATACAAGAGGAAACGAGTGAGTGACAGACTGTGGTGAACGAAGAATGCGAGTGAAAGAATTTGTGATCCTGATTGAGCGTTGAATATTGGAGTATCTTAAGTCAGAGCGAAGCCCAAAAACAGCGGCCAAAGCAGATATGAGCGGCGGCGAAAGGGCTCATGAGACGGAAGAGGGTAAGGACATGAGCAATCGGACAGAGAAGATAAGAGAATCGGAGGGATCTGAGAGACTGATAATAATTGGGGGAGAGAAAAAAAGAATAACAATTTAATTTAAGGGAACTTTGAAGGATTTGAATTGTGGACTTTGGGGAAAATTGGAAGGACAAACTTGAGATGGGGGGAGACTTGAAGTAAGGAATTAAATTACAACTTTAAATATTCCACGAATGAAACTGAATAATTTACTGGTCTCCTTTTGGATTATTGGACTGGAGCTGTAGTAAGTGGAGAAGTTTTGTTAAAGAAAGAGACTATTTGAATCTAAAAATTGACTTGTTAAACTTTTAAACGAAAGGAGAAACGACTACAGCAGAAAGTGTGGTGAGATAGTGAAATCAGAGACATTACTCAGCAACTCTGTGTTTCCGGTGTGCTCGGTGAAGGAATCTTGAAGAACTGAACAATTATATTAAGACACTTTAAGCTTTTAAATTTGCGGATTGCAACAATTATTTCTTGACATCAACTTAACTGATTTTTGAATATGGTACATGTAATTTATATATATTTGATACATTAGTAAATATTGTAGTTTATATTTGGTTATAACACACACAAAAAGGGAGGTGATAATTATTTAGGTATAGATATTTGATTAGAGGTGTTGATTAGATTGAATTAATTGTGATTAATTGTGATTACTATAGATTAACTAATTATTGTATAGTAAGGTTGATATATCTTTATTTAGATTTGTAAGTATTTGAAATATAATTTCATAACACTATTTTGAGATTTGGGATTCTATAGCACTTATAGATATACAGGTCAATAGTATTTAAATTTAAATAGAAAAATTTGATATATTATTAAGGTTTACAAATCCAGATATTTGATTTAGAAATTAGCTGTAAAAGTGTTCCAGAAAATATATATATATATTGATAAGAGAGGTTAATCCTGTAACATATCATATTAATTAGCGTAGTGGCCATTTATAGTTGATACTTCTCAATAGTGAATGTTAATTTGGGACAACATATTTAATATAATACAAAAACAAAAACAATTTTTCCAAGAAATGACCTTTGTCACTAATACAACGTTTAAAACTGGAAAGAAGACCTCTTCAATACAAACAACTTCAATGCCATCAACCTCAGTGATGGCACAAAAGACAATTGAAGAAACTCTACCTGGAGAAAAACAACCTACCATCACGAATGCCAATATTCAATCGACCCTTCTTACTTTACAAGAGTCCATGCTGAAGCTTCAGGAAATGGTGGTAAAAAATCATATCGAATCAAGAGCTGACACAAATGAACTAAAAGAAGAGATGGGAAACTTAAAGGCAGAAATGAAACTAGACATCCTAAAGTTGGATCAAAAAATTGAAACAATACAGCAAGCACTAGAAAGGAATGAATCAACAATAAAGGAGGTTGAGAAAAGAACGGAACAAATGGAAAAGAAGCTGGAAATGGTTGGTCAGCAATTAAGAAATGTGAGTAAAGAAATGGACGACTCCTTGGTATATTTGGAAATGGACAAGGCTGCAGCATATCTGAGATTCCAAAATATAATGGAAAATAAAGAAGAGGACTTAGAACAAGTGATGGCAGGAATATTAGCAGACCTATTGGAAAAAGATAAGGACGATATTCTGAAAGAGTTAGATGAAGTATACAGAGTGAGCACAAATTACGCAAGATGACATAAACATCCAAAAGAGGTCCATGTGAGATTTGCCAGAAGGAAAGTTCGAGATATTATATACAAAATTTCTAGAGAAGAAACAATTACACACAAAGGAAAAGAAATCTTGGTGCTTAAACAAATCCCAAGAAGAGTGAGAGAGCAGAGGCGAGATTATAAATTCTTGGCGAACCAATTAAACCAAAAAGGTATCATATTTAGATGGCTAATCCCAGAGGGAATGCTAATCACTTGGGAAGAAAGAAAAATTAAAGTAGATTCCATGGAAAAAGCACAAGAATTCTACAAACGACTGACAGGCCATGAAGAATCGAGTAGAAGAGACGAGTTAGAAATGAATTTGCAAGATGACCAAGACTACCAAAAAAAAAAAAGAGATGGGAATTGTAGGAATTCGAAAAACAAACAACATTAAGAGAGAGAAGAACCAAAGACGCACAATCAGCCACAAAGAGAGACAGGAGTAACTACAAGACAAAGAGCAAGAGTCAATTAGGTGATGGATGAAGAAAAGAAAATACTATCAATTAACATAAATGGTCTAAACTCTAGGATAAAAAGGGAAAGAATATTAACCAAATTAAATAAACAAAATGCAGATATAATATGTTTACAGGAAACTCATATAAGGAAGGAAGAAGAAAAATATCTAGAATGCCCCAAGCTAGGGAATTTGTATACGTCGCCAGCAGATTTTAGGAAAAAGAAAGGGATAGCAGTATATGTGAAAGACGATACGAAAGCAGAGCCAATTTGGATAGACCCCAATGGAAGAATTCTGGTGTTACAAATTTGGATTAAATCAATTCCAATTCTACTAGTGGTAATCTATGCCCCTAACGATAACCAAAAGGAATTTTTTAAACAATTACATGGCAAATCAATGGAATTAGATAAAAGGAATATTTGCATCTTGGGGGATTTCAATGCTATTGTGGACCACCAGAAAGATCATGGGGGGGGGGGGGAGAGAAGAAAAAAAGAGAACTACCAAAAACATGTGAAGAAATGATGATTGAATTAAATTTGATAGACATGTGGAGGAAATTAAACCCTGAGAAAAAGCAACTTACATTTTACTCCAGCCCTCACCAATCATGGACACGAATCGATATGGTGTGGATGAATGGTGAATTACTAAATTAAAAGAGATTGAAATTTTACCAAACGAATGGGCAGATCACAACCCGATTCAGATAGTGTGGAAAGGCAAGAAGAAACCAAGGAAAAGGTGGACCTTAAATACACAGCTAATTAAAGAGAAAGAATTTATGAATAAACTTGATGAGGAATTAGACTATTTTTTAAAAGAAAATAATAATGAGGCAACTACGAAACAGAATATTTGGGATACAATGAAGGCAATAATAAGAGGCACAACGATATCATATACTGCTAAAACAAATAAAGAAAAATACGCCCAACAAAATAAATTAGAACAAAGAATCAAAGAATTAGGAATTCAGCTGCAAAACACCCCAAAAGGTTGCAAATCGAAAAAACAGATGATAATAACTAAACATAAATTTAATTTAATTGAACAAGAAGGAATGGTCTCAAAGTTAAATACAGCCACACAAATATTTTTTGAACAGGCCAATAAACCAGGAAGGTGGTTGGCCTATAAACTTAAAAAAGAAAAACAAAAAAGATTGATCTACCAATTAATAGATGAGAACGGGGATGCCCAACAAGGGATAGAACAGAAAAAAGAAATTGCATGTAAATTTTTTGAAGATCTTTATAAAAAGAAGGAGGTAAATGAGGATATGATAAGAAACTATTTGGGTATTACTAAAGATAAAATAATTAAGGAGGAGATGAAGGAAATGTTAATTAGAGTTATTACGTGGCCCAAGTTAAAAGCAGCAATAGAAAACCAAAAGAACAATAAAACCTCAGGACCCGATGGGATATCAGGGGAACTTTATAAGAAAATAGGAGAACAAATAGGACCTCTCATGGTGGAAGTATATAATGAGGTCCTATTAGCGGCAAGAATGCCGGATTCATGGAAGGAGACACTGATATCCTTGATTCCGAAAGAAGATTCAGATTTACGACATATACAAGATTATAGACCAATTTCCCCGTTAAATACTGATTATAAAATATTTACCACAATTAGAGCAAATAGATTGAAAAAAATATTGAATGAATATATACATAAAGATCAAAATGGATTTCTTCCTAATGGACAAATTAGGAACAATTTAAGAATAGTATTAAATGTTTTGGAATACTACGAAGCCCATCCAGAAAAACAAATAGCCCTTGTATTCTTGGATGCACAAAAGGCCTTTGACAATCTAAATTTGCAATTCCTAATTCAACAAATTTACAATATGAATTTAGGCACTAAATTTGAAAACATCGTGACTACAATTTATGATTCACAAAAGGCAAATATAATTAATGGAGAGTACACGCTCTCAATAAAAATAGAGAGCCCCCTGCTCTTCATATTATCTTTGGAAACAATGCTTACACGAATTAGACAGAACCCAGGAATAAAAGGACTAAAAATTTAAAAAGAATATAAACTCTGTTGGGTATAACATTGATACACCAACTAAGTTTGGGTGAATAAATATATAAAACCAAGGTTTGGGTGTTTGTAACTTGTAGCTTTAAGCACCAAACTGCTTGTAATTAACTAATTAAGGGTGCGGTTACAAACGGCAATAAAAGGCAGTAAGAGAAACGTAACTCTCTCTCTGCTTGTTTTGTCTGCTTGCTACTGTTTGTTTGCTACTGTTTGCTACAACTGTTTGAATACCTGAACGAAAGGACTATTTCATTGATGTGCTGATATCCTGTGAATACTCAGCGTTGTCTTCAAAAGGAAAGGTATCAGAGGAGAAGATATCTTTACAAGCAGATAAGGATATAGAACTGACTAGTGAATGGACTAAGTTACTGAATGGATATATTTGTGAATGACATATGGACTGATTGACAATGTTTAAACTCTAATTGGATTAAACAACTATTTAAACTACAAAAACAGTGTTTGTCATCAGTGTGTGTAAACTCTAGGGCCCTTCCTCTCTCATTTGGCTGCCTGGCTTGACTGCTGCTGCACATTCTGTTTGGGGGTTTGTCCCCAATCACTAACAAACTCCAGTCATTTGCGGATGATATGGTATTTTTCATACAGGAACCAATTGAAACAGGTCAAGAATTACTGAAAGAGTTAGATCAATTTGGGGAAGTTGCAGGACTTAAAATCAATAGGGAAAAAAATGAAATTAATAATTAAAAATTTAACAGAAAAACAAAAACTAAAATTGGAAAGGATAATGGGATTACAAATAGTAAAAAAAGTTAAATACTTAGGAATTTGGTTGAGGGCTCAATGCAAAACTCTAATGGAAAATAATTATAATAAATTATTACAGCAAGTTAAAAAAGATTTAGAGATATGGGTTAAATTGCAAATCTCCTTATTAGGGAGGATTGCCACTATAAAAATGAATATTCTGCCCAAATTTATTTACTTATTCCAAACAATACCAATAAAAATACATAAAAATTACTATGTGGAACTTAACAATTACCAAATATATCTGGCAAGGGGAAAAAATGAGGATAAACCTAAAGGCAATGCAAGATATGAAGAGCAGGGGAGGTATGGCACTCCCAAATTGGGAATTATACTATAGTGCAGCCTCCTTACTTTGGTTGAAAGAGTGGGTAAATCTGTCGAATAAAAGGATCTTATTTTTAGAAGGCCATGATTTACAGAGGGGATGGCACGCATTTTTATGGGACATTGGAAAAATTAATCAGAAGTATTTCCACAGACATATAATTAGAGATTCCTTATTGGCTAATTGGAACAAAATAAAAAAAACATTATTCAAAAATCCCAATCTGGATCTCAACGATGGAGGTGATGATACATCCAAATAATCTAGATCTTAATAAAATGATAAAATACAAAGACCTTCTTGATGCGCAAGGAACTTTAAAATCATGGCAAGATCTCCAAGAACAAGGGCTACAAGTAGACCGGTGGGCTTATTTGCAAATTCAAAATAGATATAGCCAGGACAAGAAAAATTTTGGAATTTATACTAAGGCACAACAATTAGATAAAAATTCTATTAGGTCCAGATAAAAAAAATAACTAAATTTTATAATTATTTATTAGAGATGGAATTAGAAGAGGAAGTAGTCAAAGGCAACATGATAGCTTGGAGCAGAAACATAGGACGTAACATTACATTATTAGAATGGGAAAAGGTTTGGACAAGGAATAATAAAATTACAAAATCAGCAGCAAATAAAGAAAATGCCTATAAAACGTTTTATAGATGGCATCTCTCACCCTCGAGAATAGCGAAAATGTCTCCTAACATGAATCTGAATTGCTGGAAATGTAAAAAGAAACAGGGAACATTCTTTCATATGTGGTGGTCCTGCACTGAAGCCCAAAGATACTGGCATAGAATAAAAAAATGGTTAGAGGAAATAATGGCGGAGCAAACTGAATTAAAACCAGAACTCTTCCTATTGGGGATATTTAATAGACAAATTTCTAAAAATGTCAAATATATAATACTGCATATTCTTACTACAGCCAGAATAACCTTTGCACAGTGTTGGAAACAAGCAGATATTCCAACAGAGGAAATGGTTATTCAAAAGATAACAGCCTGTGCAGAGATGGATAAGCTAAACTTTGCACTTAAGGAAAAAGAAACATCAGAATATTATAGAAGCTGGGAATGCTGGTATGACTGGATAGAACAAAAATAGAAAATATATTAGTAAACAACATAAAATGTAAATCATAATTATATATTCGCAATAAGATGTATTTGTAAATATATCACCAATATTGATAACAAACAAGGAACCATACTGTCGATAGTAGAACTGTTAGTTTTTAATCATTTTCTTTTTTCCTATTCCTTTTTCTTCTTCTGTGTTGTGTATGTGTTTGTTTGATATTTTAGTTTTATAATCAATAAAGTTTATTTAAAAAATATGCAACAGGTTCCTGCAAAATGCACCATCTGTTCATTTTGCCCTTTGTGCAATACTCCTGTACCCAAGCTCCCTTCAGTTCACAGCCTACCTAAACCTGGTGCTTTCAAGACAAATATACAACTGCCACCCATTCCAAACCCTGGCAAACAAAACAGCAATTCAACATCCTTAAAGACAGCAACATAAATTAAGAGAGGAGGAAGCAAACATCACTGCAAAGTTCATACATACTCGGTGGAGAAAAGTCACATGAACTTTTAAGATGCCTTATCAAAAGGAGGGCAAGGAAAGAGAAAGTAAAAGCGGGTGTGACATCCCCAAGACTTCCACCACCACCACCACCACCAGTGAAGCTGGCAGATCAATCAATACGTCAGAAGGACCCTCAACCCAATCTTCCCACCCCATGTGGGCCAGGTTGTTGCTTCACCCTAATTTTAACAGAACAAATAAGAGGATGAGGGGAGGAAGCAGCATAAAGGAGGACCCTTCTTCCTTTACCACAACCCCCGCCCCCAAAATATCTGTTCCCATCTCTAACTTCCCCAGGCGATACCTATCGGAGAAACCGCCCCGCCGCCGCCCTGCCTCTGTGCAATGAAATGGTCCTCCCCCGAGTCGCCGCCACGCTCTTCACCCGAGTCCGCGTTTCGGAAAAGCAGCCCGCCGGGACCACCTCTGCCCTTCCCTCGCACTCGTGGGGGAAGAGCTTGCCCCTCTTCGATATGGCAGTCCTGTTGGAACGCCAGCCACGGAGCCTTGCAGCTTCCCTGACGAGAAGGCATAGCTTCAACGGCTTCCTTCTTTCCCCGCAGGCGCTGCCGGGTCTCCCCCATCCCCCCCGAACTCCCGTCTCTGTGGCAACCAACTTCCCCAGGCGGCCCCGTCACGAGGGGCGAAGGGAGGAAGGCTCGCGCATGCGCGCGATAAAAAAAACCCACCGCGTACCTGGAGGGTCAGAGCAGCTACGGCTGAGACAGTAACAGCTGCTCTGCGGCTCACTGACCTGAGCCTTCACCCTCCCTCTTTTCGGCTTTCCACTAACTACTAAAGCACAGGACGTCACTTCCGCTTCCTCTTAGACGCAAGTGGGGGAGGCGGAGGGACCTTGGCTCTTTAAAGCGGAGGGATCTTGCCTGAGAAGGAATTGCACGTCTGTGTACATACATGTAGATATTTATTTATACCTAGTGGCTTAATTTTGTAAGGTAACATGGAAAAGATGATGTCTTCCTTCCAGGAAGGATTTTAAAAGGGGACACAGTGCCGGAAATGAGGAAACGGAAGAAACGAAAGAGCATGGGGGAGAGTTTTTTTGTCAAACATGTACAAGATAACAAGTACTATTTTTTACATTGTATGTGTAATACAAAAACCTTCCGGGTGCTGCTTCTGTTATGCACTTTCTGTTCCTCATCCTTTTCCTCAACTTCCTCGTATCATCCGGTGAGATAACTGTCGGGCTCTGGGAATTTACTCACGTCTGGCACTCGCTCGGAGCCCGACACGTCGCTGGGGCTGCGGGACTGATGGACGTATGGACGACTGTTGTTTGTGCTGAATTGTTGAAACGGGAAACGAGAAGCATGGGAGCCACCCGGAACTGTGTTCGTTGCCATGGACGCTAGACAGCTGAGAGGCACATGGACACTAATCAGTCATCAGGCTTTTTTCGGGGTCGTGCATTGATGTGGGGACTTGGGGATATCAGTTGGTGGGGGGTTATGATCCTGATTCAGATAGATGGGGGTAAGGATACAGAAGGGATAGATAGCACGGGGAGAGAAAGGAATGTAAATAAAGATTAGGCGATGAAAAACAGGCACGGGGAGGAGGCGCGGGAGTAGATAATGCAGCAGCGGATGTCAGGTTGTTAACTGGGAGGGACTAGAGCACAGCATAAAAGGCAGTGAGAGGCAGACGTTTCAGTGCTGACTTTACTGCTGTAATAAACTTCACCATACCAATTGTGAGTAGAGTGATTTATTAGTGAGATACTCCAGTACCCAGTTGGAGCTGAAAATAACAGATTAACAGTGTTGGAAGGGATCTTGTAGGTCATCTAGTCCAACAACCCCCTCCCCGTCCAAGCAGGAGACCCTACACCAGAGGTGTCCAACCTTTCACCTTCCCTGGGCCACATTAGAAGATGAAAATTTGGTTTGGGCCGCACATAAAATAACAGTAACGATACCTGATCATCCAAAAAAAGCCATAGAAAACATAGTTAACATATTAAATTTATTTGGAAATGAAGTTAGT